CCCCTGGGAGCTGACCATTCTGCCTTGAGTTTAACTGGCCAAAGAGACGCCCTCAGCAGCCCCTCTGACACTGTCTCTTGAAAGGCACCCTAATGAGACTCAGACAAGTGTGTTCCCGGATCCCAGAGGCATGTTGAAACATGTCTCACCTGTATGTGTGTGAACTGGAACCCTAGTGGCAATGTTTCTTGACTTTGCCCTTATATAATCTGTGGCGTCATCTTATCAACAGCACAACCCTATGGCTTCTTAGATTTACCCCTTTATAGTCATGCAAAACAATTTATTCTTAGTAACCATAAAGAAGTGGTTCACATTTTAGAGATCTCAAAAAGCTTTTTACATGCCATTTTTTATTTCTCATAATTTCCGTGAGTAGGAGGAAGTCATTTATTTTCATTTAATATAAGGCGTAACTGCAATCTTCGCGAGCGTGTGTAAGTGTTCACAGACTCTTCCTTTGGGTCTAAGACTCAGGCTCTTAGCTGTGTAGCTCTCTGCTCTATAGCCCAAAGAGTAAAATGGTACAAACAAATTACTGATTGGGGTTAGCTTGTTGATTGATTGATTGATTGATTGATTGATTGATTTTTAAAAGCCAGCTCTCCTAACTTAGAAATTGTGTTGTCTCTTGCTGTTTTGATGGAAATTAGCAGCCTGACCTATGTTGTTTTTATTGCTTTTGACCTTTAGGTGAGGAGCCCTAGTGGCATAGAGGTTACACGTTGGCTTGCTAACTGCAAGGTCAGTAGTTTGAAAATACCATCATGCTCCCCAGGAAAAAGATGAGGCTTTCTACTCCCCGAAAGAGTTCCAACCTCGGAAACCCACAGGGGCAGTTCTGCCCTGTCTTAAAGGGTCCGCTATGAGTCAGAATCTACTTGATGTTAGTGAGTTTGGAAGCTTTGTTTTGTTTTTGACCTTGTTTTTGACCTGTTAGTCTTCTAACAGCTTTACTATCTTTTCCCAAATAATTGCCAGTAAGCCTGGTAGGCTCTGTAGGGCATATTAGAAGCATTAGTTGAAACGTCTCAACCCACTACACTTTATTTTGTTCATAACAATTATGAATTTAAAATGAAAAATGAACTTTTTCCATAAATATAATTACTTCTTGAGAAATTATTAAATTGACAGTTATTTTTGTTAATATACACTATAACTCAAGAAGATAATTGTTCTTTCTTAGAAATACATAGAAGCATCTATCTCATGATTAATCATTTCAGTACTTTAATGTTTTCCTTTGTGCATTAAAGAACCTTTAAGCAAATCTCGAGTGTCCTTAGCAGGACACAAATAGACAAAGACGAGTACTGAAAATGTCAGCTTTATGGTAAGAAAAGAAACACTGGAAAACAAAATCTCTACTATTTTAAATTGACTTAATAGATTACAGTTACTTCTTTATTTTGTTACTAAGTGAAACTCTTTGGTTTGGGACAATGATAAAATAAAAGCTAAAAGACTGAAATTGTGAGCCACAATTTGTTTTGTTTTTCTTTGCCCTTGCAATTGATCAAAAGCAGTATAATTTATTTTTCTAAAATCTTATTACTAAAATTTCTGAGTTACTTGTTTGTTTTACTGCAGTATACCTCAATTTTGATAATACTGTTTCAAACAATGCAAACTATAAATGGGTGGCTTTGACCCTACACCTTCTAAATTATCATTTAATGAGTATATTTCTCAGTCAGTAAAGGTCTGTTAAGCAAACTGCTAAATTTTTATTGCAGCAATGAAGTTCCATTAAAGGAACTTCTATGCTCTGGATCGGGGGTCCTCAAGCTTTTTAAACAGGGGGCCAGTTCACTGTCCCTCAGACCCGTTGGAGGGCCATACTATAGTTTAAAAAATATATATGAACAAGTTCATATGCACACTGCACATATCTTCTTTTGAAGTGAAAAAACAAATGGGGCAAAACCACCTGGGGAGCCGCATGTGGCCCACGGGCCATAGTTTTAGGACGCTTGCTCTAGATGATAGTCTTTCAAGTAAGTATATCCGAGATTTTGAGAATACCTTCTTAAAGTTAAATAGGGCAACCAAAATTAAGAAATACAGCTTACTTCTTTTAATAAAAAGAACCTACATTCTCTGCTTTCTTGTTGTTATGTATGTGTGTATATGATTGTGTGACAAATTTTCTACCGTTATATATCATGTAATGCATTATAGGCTACCTGCGTAGTGACCAAGGACCATGAATTTTGGGGTTTGAAATGACACCCATTTGACAGCTCACGGTTCTGTGTATCAGAAGGTCTGTTGCTCCCTGCTGGGTTATCTGCATAGGGTTTCATAAAGCTAAAAGCAAGGCGGCTGGAGGGCTGGGTCCCCACCTAGTGACTCTGCGGGGAAATTATCCTCTGGACTCCTACTGGTTGTTAGCAAAACTCAATTCCTTGCAGCAGTAGGTCAGCGGCTTACTGCTGTCTGTCGTGCATGAGCCATTCCCTGAAACGAGAGCTTACAGACATTTCTTCTCTATGGCCCCTCCATCCTCAAAGCCACCAGTAACATACTGAGTGCTAGTGTTTTGAATCTCTCTGGCTTGCCCTTCTGCTTCCAGCCAGAGGAAGTTCTTTTTTTTTTTGAAGGCCTTACCTGATTAGTTCTGGTCCACTCAGATAATCTCTGTTCAGTGACCAACTGCTTTGAGGTTTAAATTGCAGCAGTAAGCTCCCTTCACAGAATTATCTAGATTCGTATTTATTTTCTTAAATAACCAGGCGATAGCAGTCTTATGAATCCATCGGAGGACTTTGCCTACCATAAGTAGCTTTTTGTAAGTGTAATGCAAAGTGCAAGGAGCCCTGTTGGCACCACGAATTAAGTACTGGGCCTACAAGGTTGGCAAATCAAACCCAGTGGCCACTCTGAGAGGGAAGGGAATCAGTCTGCTTCTCTAAAGACTTGCAAACTTGGAAACCCTAGGGAGCAATTCTTCTCTCCTTAGGATTCAACGGGAGTCAGAACCCACTCAACAACATTGGGGGTGTAAAGAGCACTGAATGCTCTGGATCCTGTTAGGCCATTAAGTGCCATTGATCCTGCACCCTTGGACCCTGGAGACCAAGAAATGTATCTTTATAGCCCTAGTGCCTGGCACAGTGTCTGGTGTGTAGCAGGGACTCAGAAAATATTAATTAAATGTAATCAAATGAAATTACTTTTCTGAGTCTTAAGCTTTACAAATTCCATATCAATTTAAACTGAGATAGTACACACATATGCTCTTTGGATATTCAAAAGCATTATTGGGACAGCATATATTATACCCAATGTAGAGACTTAAAAAATTATTTAAGGATCTAAACTGTTAAGTAAGCAACATTATAAGTCATGACTAGTAACCCATACCGGTCTTCTGGCATCTAGGGTCCTAGCCTGATAATCTATTATATTTATGTAATGCTTCCAAGTTTACAAGATGTACTCATACCTTGAATCTCTTGAAGAAATGTGTGTATTAGTGTAAATAGTATGAAGTGGTATGCAGATAAAAGGACACTGAACTAATGTGGCCAAGGTCACCTGCTAATAACAAAGCAAAACGAAACATTTAAATCCAACTCTTTTGCATACTAATCGTGTTGCTTTGCTCCTCTCTTTTAAAGATACCTAGACTTGTAAGACATTTAAGCAAAAGATGAGAGTAAAGTCACAGATTCCTTCTCCTTGGACTCATGTAGTCATGTGCTGTTTTTTTCCACATTTATTTCCTTCTAAGTCCTGAGCCCTTGGTGCATCCTTTCTCTTATTTCTATTTTTAGAAAAATTATTTACAGACAGTTGCTAATCCTTTTGAACAAATTAGGATGAGTAGACAGAAGACAGTACTAGCATGCCATACTTAGCCCTCCTATCACCTGCACACACACCATTTTCTTCTGCATGTGAAATGGAAAGCCACGTTCCTTGGGGGGTGGGGGTGGGGGGGGGGGGTTGGTGTGTGTTTGGTCCCCATCCATCCATCCTCCCCCGCCTCTGGTAAGTTCAGGTAGCGCAGGGTCAAAATCCCAAGAATATAGTGCTTCTTGTCAGGAATTTTGAACTCGAAATATTTGGCAAGGAGCTTTGGGTGGCATAGTCACTTGTGTCTGTTGGCACTATCAAGAAGGCTTTCGGGGTGTGTTGGAATAAAATGATGGCATTTTTTCATCCTTAAGTGAAGTACCAGTATAGGTTCTAATGTCTGTGTTTATTTGGTACTAAATTGGCTCCCTGATTGTAATGAGTATAAATGATAAGTACCTTGCACTGTTTAGGGTTTGGAGATGGGGATTAGAAGGGGATGGGAGGCGGCAGGATATAGTGATTAAAAGCCCATCTGGCTCCGATTCACAGACGTTTCAGGGTTTTTCTCAAGCCATATCCTGGTATCACTGTCTAGAGCCAATAGATCTCAGCGGGCTCCCAATCATAGGACTGGTGACCTGTCTACCATGTTACACGTTCATAGTGGTCCTCTGACATTTTTGTCATTGCTGCTTCACTGCCGTACCCAAGACCTGGTGTACAGGATTCCAACAATGATGAATTAACTGGTGGTGGAGGCCAAATAGACTCAGTGTGTACAAAATTCTGTGTACAAAGTGTAGAACTTTCTCAGTCCAGCTACTTAAAATTCCTCAGCTGTTTAGAAGTTTTAGTCCTAAGATTGGCTTAACCTAGTGTGTTGTAAAAACTGAGGAAGTATATTTTACTGTGCTACTATCTCAAAAGTTACAGTGGACATTCCATTTAGCTCAATTCCCACAGTAATCGTGGCCATTGGTTGACATAAAAGAAAGCCCCAACCCACCGAACGGCTTTAGAAGATGTTGTGCAAGTATGCTTATGGGAGGAACACATGCCATTGTACTGAAACCCATGTTGATTTCTTCTCCTATATTCTATGCCAAGTTAGTATCTCTGTGGCTTAGGTTTATGCATTAAGACACATACTCTGTCAGTATAAAATTTAATGTACATTTTTCTTGTGTATTCAGCGGCCATTGCAGTCATTTGGACAGACAGGAAAAAGGTCAAAGGTATAGTACATGTCTTGGTATGCTGGCATGCCAACAAGGGTCTTCCTTCATGCTCGCTGAATCCGTGTTTTCATATAGCACTGCATTCGGTTTAGTTTTGTCATATTTTGTTTGGGGCAGAAAGCTTATTTTGTTTTGTTTGGGGTTTTTGTCTTGCATAGTTGCTTTGTGCATTGCTTCGTGCCTTTGACGGTCATTATCTATAGAGAAAAGTGCGCTCTCATCGTTCCTTGGGTTTGGAAATCAGAATTATTCCCATTCTTACTGTTGCCTTAATTTGCAGAACTTCAAGTGTTTGTTTTGCCCCTTAACAAAGGACTTCAGTGGTGTTGGATGTTATCTTGAACTTGCACATCTCATCCACTTTTCTATGTGACAAGAGCTTTTTATTAAGAAACTCTGTAGAGGCTTTTGGATGTGCCCTAGATTTGTGAAATGTAGTGTTAATTTTAAATACTTCTCTTTAGTCAAGCTCAAAGTTAAAGCTAGTTCGGAGCCTTGCAGTATGTGAAGAGTCTCCACCACAGCCTGCAGCAGAGATATCCCAGGAAAACCAGGTAAAGAAATAAAATAAAGGCAAATTAAAAGAAGATTTTTTAAAAACATGGTAGAATAACCTGTTTCCTGAAAAATAATTCTCAGCTAGGTTCAGTCAAAGGTGTGTGATTGTGTGTGTGTTGTTTGTTTTGTTTTTACTGAGTGAAAACTGATAATACTTGCCGTCTCGAGAAACAGAGGAAACGTTTGAAAACCATTGTTGCATTTTGTCTAAGGCTTTGAACAATGCCTTCTCTTCTAGAAAAATCTAGGACTCATGTAACTCACTGAAAGTGTGACTTCAAGATAATTGCAAATTATTATTGAAAAGGTACTCAATATTAAAGTAATACCTGAGAATGAAATTGTGGTGAAATTTGTTCTTTGAGCTTTAACGTAGGAATCTGTTACTAACACAGCTAACTCCTGTCTAATGTTGTAAAATTTAGAACTGAGAGACTCAAGCAAGCAGTTTAGTTTGCCCTGTTGTCATCTTTTAAATAATGTACCTCTACATACTTACTTTTCTGTTAAAACTCTGTTATGAGATGGACATTGGGCTTCCACTCAAGTACTCCCTCAATGCAAGAACATTTTGTTCTATTAAACTGACATTCAGTGATGCTCACCTTCCCAACAAAGCGGGTGCATAATAAGCAAATGTGGTGAAGAAAGCTGATGGTGCCCAGCTATCAAAAGATATAGCATCTGGGGTCTTAAAGGCTTAAAGGTAAACAAGTGGCCATCTAGCTGAGAAAAAACAAACCCCACATGGAAGAAGCACACCAGCCTGTGTGATTATGAGGTGTCGAAGGGATCAGGTATCAGGCATCAAAGAACAAAAAATCATATTATTGAGAATGAGGGCCATCTGTAGACAAATGGACATCCCCTTACAGAAGGGTCGTGGGGAGGAGACGAGACAGTCGGGGTAGTGTGCAATGATCAAACATACAACTTTCCTCTATTTCTTAAATGCTTCCTCCTCCCCACTCTCATGATCCCAATTCTACCTTACAAATCCAGCTAGACCAGAGGATGTACACTGGTACAGATAGGAACTGGAAACACAGGGAATCCAGGACAGATGAACCCTTCAGGACCAGTGGTGACAGTTGTCAAGGGTTCATGAGGGAGGGCAAAAAATGAGTTGATACCAAGGGCTCAAGTAGAAAGCAAATGTTTTGAGAATGATGATGGCAACAAATGTACAAATGTGCTTGACACAATGGATGGATGGATGGATTGTGATAAGAGTTGTATGAGCCCCCAATAAAATGATTTAAAGAAAAAAACCCTTTTTATGGCTTGATCTTTGTCCCATGCCACATCTAAACATTTTATACATAAATATTGTACCCCCGCCCACCACCTCTAAGATTTATTGAAAATATCATAACTTTGGCTATCAGTGGCTTACTTTAGGAAAATTTGGGCCTTCCTAAAATGCCCTAATATTGTAACTATATATTTCCAAAAACTGGAGACATCTTTATGACTGATTTAATAAGGTATAATTTTCAATAGGGGAGAGTGGGGGAGGCCAGGACTTGTTACACAACTTCTTCTCCCCTCCCCCCCTCCCTCCCCAGGCATATCAAAGGCACCCTGGTAGTGCAGTGGGTTAAGCTTTGGCCTGCTAACTGAGCAGCTGACTGTTCAAACCACCATCCGTTCTGCAGTAGAGGATGAGGCATGCTACTTTCGGAAAGATGGATGGCTTCAGAAGCCCTGGGGAGCAATTCTTCTTTGTCCTGTTGTGTTACTATGAGTTCTCATCGACTCCATGACGGCGGTTTGGTTTGGTTTAATAATGTTGATTACAGACTTGGTGATTCAGGCGAAAACTATTATACCTTACTCTGTATTAGAAGCCTGCTGTAGATCCTCAAGGTGCTGATCACAGATTTAAGGTAATTGTTGTTTCCAAAAGGCAAGCAGACAAAGTTTTAAAAGAGATTACCAAAATAACCTATTTCCTTTTACATTTGTTCCAGTACCAGAAACATACAGTTCAAAATTTATTTGAACTCCCCCTCCCCTTCCCCCCTGAAATGTTTACCTCTGTAGATGTATGGTGGCCATGTAGATATACAATGTCAATTTAATATATATCTATACTTGCATATAAATTGTATATACAATTTCTATATGTACTTATTCTATAAAAACAGATGGTTTAACTATAATGGACCTTCGGTGGCAAAAAGCAGAAATAGAATTGGAGCTGGTGCACAAATACTATTGCCTGGGATGTTTTCACATGCTTGCCTTTAACCTTTGTGTGATTGTGGATGAGGTTGTAGAATTATGATAAACTATAAGAAAAATTCGGTAACATTGGTTTTTTTATAAACCTGAATAAAGAATATGCCTAACCAAGAGTGAGCAGTGGACAATGCAGTGTGTTTTGAAATTTCAAGTTGTTTTGGGGTTTTTTGTGGGCCAAAAATGCTCCACTGTCTTATCCTTATAAAATAGTAGTTTGATCGGGAAAACAGTAAAGGAGAAGACTCTTAGGATGGTTTATGCCATAAAAGTGTGGGTTCTTTTATAAGAAAACTATAACATGATCTTTAATTTTATGCAGTGTATGTTACCTGAAAAAAATGTTAGCTAAGGCACTGCACAAATTTGGCAAGTGGGGACTTAAGATGAGAACAAATGCTCTGATACCATCAGGAGTTTACGTTGTATATTATAAATTTGTATATTATTGATCAGTGGTAATAATTGTTTCCAGTCTAATAGTTGAGCTACATGGTTAATTAATAAGCTATTAGGATAGAATTCTCTTCCACTCAATACTTTCTCAAAGAGTTTTTCTTCGATACAACAGTTTTTGTATAATAACCTATTTTATGCCTCAAAACAAAAGATAATCTTTTTAGTAGAAAAGCTTTTCTGAAGCCATGAGTTAATAACTAAATTGCACCTCAATAGGAAATGGGAAAATAAATTGTTTCTCATGAAATGGACTGGTATCTAATCCTTGAGGGTAAAGACATTTTCCAACTAATTTGTCTGCTTCAGAATCTGCTTTTTGTGGAATTAATCTGGAATAAAACTCATTATTCAAGAGGGTGAAAGGCAATTAAAAGAGAGATGTGGCTTGTATCTGATGAGAGCTTGGGAGAGGGAAGTGACCTCAATAATGGCTCTGTCAATGACAGTGAAGAGGGAAAGAATCCGAGCCTCCTGTGGAGAGCTGCTCTTGTCCCAGCCCAGGAGAGCTCAGTCTCAGGATGCAGACATTGAAACTCTTTCTCCATTTCTCACTCCTGGAAACAAGGCCCACGGAGTCTTTGAAAAACAGTTCATCTTAAGATAGAGGAGGGGCCCGTGGTGGCACAGCAGTTAGAGCACTTGTCTGTGAAGACAAAGGTCCTTGGTTCAGGCCTAGGAGCCTCCACAGGAGAGAGGCGTGGCAGCCTGCTGCCGTAAAGATTACACTGTTGAAAGCTGCGTGGAGCATAGATGAATATCTAGAATTTAAATGTCTGCCACTTTTATTAGAAAAAGAGGTAAGTGTGGGCTTGAGGACTTCAGGGGGTATAATTTAGACTTGAAGTAGGCGTCAGAACTGCCTAACAGCAAAGGTCAAAGAGGAGACACAATCTGAACCTCTTTGCCCCAGCTGGTTACCAAAGAATTGTCTGTGAGCAACTGGAATATAAGCCACAAGTCAGGAAAGCGCCTAAATAGTCTACCCATGGAAGGTATTTCTGGGATTCCTTTTTTTCAATCCCCTTTATGGTTTTGAAAAGAATGACGAAAATGGGCTCTTGCCTTATATTCTACGCACACTTTTAGCTGAGATGGAATGGAAAGCAGAATGAAAATAGCTGGTAGCAGGGGGGCAATTATTTTAAATTCTGCCAAAAATCATTTTTAAAAGAACCATGTAGTGGGGAAAATGTCTAGTGAAATTCTGCTATGATAAGCTTGCAAGTCCTGACATTGACATCCCCTTTGGTTCTGGTCTGTCCCCCCCTCCCCCTTTTCCCACCCCATCGTCCACCACCCAGAAAAGCTAAGTAAATGTCTGGTGGATTGCTTTTGATCACTGGAGAACATCAGTGTAATGTAGTCTAAAAATACACTGCACGTTTATCGGTAGTAGAAAAGGTCTGGCTATTCTAGCTTCCAGTATAACAGAGTATAAATAGACTTGCACAATTATTACCCTTTCAGACTTTATGAATCCATTTCCACCAATTTGAGGATAGACGTGTAATGGCATTTAAAAATTAAGTAAACTTCAGGATTAGTTCTTATTTTCAATTTATAGAATTGAGCTTACTTTATGACTAAACATTGTGAATCCGGAAGGAAAACGGTCTTGTTTGAAACCTCTCTAAAACCATGGAAGGAGCAACTGTGGCTTGTCAACATCAACTAGGAAGCAGCATCGTGCGTGTTTGCCTTTGAGAGTTGTTTGTACTTAGAATTTTATCTGGTAAGGTCATGGAGAAATACGATGGAGACTCAAAAGCATTTTCACCCATTGACCTGGCCCTCATGTTTCTGTTACTGTGTGATGGATGGTGGTGGTGCTGCTTCTGCAGGGCTGTGCCGGCTCCAGCACAGAAAGTCGGCCACAGTGTTGGCTCTGGTCCTACAGGGCGTTACAAGCAGGTATATTTAAGCGATTACAGAAGACATGTCTTTCCTCTCAAGTTAGTCTGAGGATAGGTTTTGACAGATGGGGGTTCAACTGCAAACACCAGTTTTAACGTTGAAACGAGCAGTGAGATTATTTTTAAGTTGTCTCCTAATTTAAAGAAATTACCTGGGTGAGATCTCATTGTATCCCTTTTCTACCTCTGCACACACTTGTGTTACTTGAAGAACATAAATCTGCGATAATGGGTGCATCCCTTTACCTTTTCATTGACTAACTGATTGTGCTTTTCAACAGGAGAAAATCCAGATTCACTTAACACAATCATTTGAAAAAGAGGAGAAGCCCTCAAAAGATGAAGCGGAAAAAGAAAAAGCCAGTGATAAGTTACCCAGAAAAATGTTATCAAGAGGTTTGCACTTTATTTCTGTGTTTCAGAAATACAATTCTAGATTCATTTGTGATAATTTCGATCTTTGCTCCTTGAATAATTCATTACATGTCATACAGCTATATTAAAAATGGCACAGAGTGGACTGAAGAGATGATTGATAAGTAGTCATCTGGACAAAATGCCCTAACACAGCTCTGAACAACAATAAAATGCTTCATTAAAAAAAAAAAAAACGGCATAACGTACCAGAATTGCTGAGGAAAGTAACAGATCTTATTGATCTGTTTCATATTGACATGCTGTCATCACTAAAATTTGTCAACCCACTAAAAGTATCTGTTGTTGTCCTTGTTAGCAACCCCATGTGTTAGCGAGTTGAGTTGATCCAGGTTTGCTTGTCTATGATCCTTAAGGAAATGCTTCATCGGGTCTTTTCTTCCACAAAGTTGCTGGGTACGTAACTGAATTCAGCTAATACCCAAATGCAAACCATGTAGCACCACAAAAGTTCCTTACTAGAAATATTATTACTCTTTAATTCCTTATGAGACAAAAAAGCTGGTGCCAAGATAGTTAGTGTCGAATAAGTATGTTCTTAGAAGCCCGGGATGTTTATCTTTGATACTGATTTTTGGAGCTTCTTCACCATCGCTTAGCATCAGACATAATTATTTTTTTAAATGCTTTTAAAGTTCATAAACCCAGTTGACCAGTATTATAAGGAGCATAGTATACTGTGTTTTAATGGGAACAAATAAATACAGGTATTTGGAAGAAAATACATCTTTTAAGGCAAGCCTTCAGTGATACAACTGATAAAAATCTAAATACATGATTCTTTCAGAACTAAAATTTCTAGTCTACCTCCAAATTCTTGCCTCCACTTATATCTGAAATGTCTTGATTTGCCAAAAGTGTGGTTAATTATCAAAGTCTTTGGAAATTTTCACTTAAGGAGACATCTTTGAGTGTGCAATACGACAAATATTTAAGAAGTTCTTATAAGAATTCAGAAAACTTAACTGGCACGTCGGGATGAGGGACTTCAATTACCGTGCATGCAAAATGCAGCTCGCTGTGTACACGCGTGTTTTTTGATGCATCCTAATGAGAGGAAGAGAAGTGTGGTCGTCCAAGTCCATCATCAACGCCCTTTTCATCCTGGACCGTTCTTATTTTCAATGTGGGGCATTTCGTTTTATGTAAGACACCCATCGTATGTAAAAGGAAAGGGATTTGTTTATACTGGCTTTTTGTGTTGTTTTTTAGATTCCAGTCAAGAATACACTGATTCTACTGGCATAGATCTACATGAATTTTTAGTAAATACATTAAAAAACAATCCCAGGTAAAAATCATATTTGTAGAGTACCGTAATTTTGATATGTCTTTTTTAATTATGAATTAGAGTATTAGTAATAAGATTGCAAATACTTGAAGTGCACCAGAAGCATTTTAGTTTCTTAAGGCTACTAAGTTGTGGTCTACTTTATGCACATGTATAAGTTGGGGTTTTGTTTTGTATGTTATGCATGTCACCACGTTGTAAATAAACTAAATCATAGTCTCTCGGAACTATGGGAAATACAGAATCACAAAGGTATTTAAGCTCTTTGAGATCAATATCAATCATGAAGAAAGGGGGGGGGTAAACTTTATATATGTGTATGTATTAGGGTACTTCAAAAAGTTCATGGTTAAATGAAATTAAAAGTTAATGGTTTTATTCATGAATTTGTCGAAGCTCCCTGGAATGCCTTGTAAGGCATTCCACCATACAAGAACTTCATGCATTAATTTTTTATAGAGGTCTTAATTTAGTTCATGCAAAAGTTTTGTCCGTTCTTCCTGAGTTCATACATCTTTGACTCAGATTTTTAAGGTATCTGTTTGAGTTAGTCATTCAAACTAATTGTGACCTTTGTCGTTTGGTCAGGGTCCTTCACAAGTAGTTTTAAACTTTTTGGCAGATGCTGGGCTTACTCACAAAATATCCCATGAGTATTTTCATGGAGCTGAAGACTCCAAGCTTGGAGCTCGGTTTCCAGTTAGTATATATCTTGCTGTTGACATGCATTGAAATAGAATGAAACTATGTCTGTCGGTATATGCACATGGAAGGTAACATGGTTAATTCTCTGTCAGCCTCAGTGAAGCTTATTAGCCCATGTATAATTTTGTCTCAATATGGTTTTTATTTTCGTTCAAAATGTACTGCATTTCATACCATGTTGGTGTTGCATTTTACATTTAGCTTAAACTCCAAAGGAAGAACCTCCGTGAACAAAAGCAATATTCTTATAACAGATGCCGAAGGCATAGATGAGGGAGAAGTTAGGCAGCACTGTACAACTCCGAATCTTTCTCCCTTTCAAGTGTTTTCCTTGGTGCTTCCAAGAGAAAGATGACATCTTTGATCTATTGGACAGGTATTTTTAGAGCAGCCCTCATGTACCAAGCGTTTTTCTAAACACTCTAGATAAAAAGATGAATAAGACCTGTCCGAGATCCTAACATCTTCACCGACTGAGTGCTAGGGAAACAAAAATAAACATGATAGAGGGTCTTTAGAAAATGAGGCTTTCAAGGAGCCATGGAGACACAGAGATGGGGCTCCGGTCTCCATTTCAGAAATCCTGGGGAGACTTTATTGAATAGGCATTGCTGAGCTGAGTTCCTAGTGCTGTGACTAGGATCTGCCCCACAGAGGAGCCTGAGAAGGGCATTTCAGAGAGAGCAGTGCCACAGCCCAGTTCTGTGAGAGAAGATGTGTTCTAGTCAAAGACGTACTGTACACATTGGCCTCGCAGGAAGGCCTGTGGCAGGTCATGTTAGAAAGTGGTCAGCAAGGGGCTGTTGTGAGGTACTAAAGGCTTTGTTGCTTCTGAGCTTGATGGCCGCTTGATTACCTTCAAGCCTTTAAGACCCCAGACGCTACACTTTTTGATAGCCGGGCACCATCAGTCTTCTTCGCCACATTTGCTTATGCACCCATTTGTCTTCAGTGATTCGTTTGACACCTTGTGATCACACAGGTTGATATGTTCCATGTGGGCTTTGTTGCTTCTGAGCTAGATGGCCGCTTGTTTACCTTCAAGCTTTTAAGACCCCAGACGCTATATCTTTTGATAGCCGGGCACCATCAGCTTTCTTCACTACATTTGCTTTGTCACAACTGCTTCACCGCTTTGTCTTCAGCAGTTGTGTGGGGAAGATGAGCATCATGGAATGCCAATTTAATAGAAGAAAGTATTCTTGCGTTGAGGGAGCACTTGAGTGGGCCATCATCATTTTCAAAGCATTCTCTTCCCACTTGAGCCCCTGATATCAGCTCTCCATTTCTTCCCCTACCCTCCCCTGCCCGCCCTCCCTCACAAACCTTGCTAAGTTATAGATTATTATTTTCATAGAAGGTGCATTCTTAAAGTGAGTTTTAAGATAGTCACAGATGTGTGCAGCCATCACCACAGGCAGGTTTAGAATATTTTCAGTCCCTCAAAGAAACTTCAACTGTGCAGCTATTACTTCTCTGCCCCGTGCCTCCCCCTCCTCTCCACATCAGCCTTTAAAAATAAATTAATTAATTAAACTCTGTTGCCAACAAGTTATGCTGACTCATCCACCCAAATAGGATAGAATTCAACTGTCCCTATAGGGTTTTCATGGTTGTACATCTTCCAGAAATAGACCACCACATCTTTGTGGCACAGAGCACCTGGTGGATTTGAACCTCTGACTTTTATATTAGCAGCCAAGAGCTTTATCACTGTGCCCCTAGGGCATCTCACCTCATGCCTAGACAACCATTAATCTACTTTGCCTTTCTGGACAATTGGTATAAATACCACATGTTCTTCTGTGACTGGTTTCTGCCATTTGGCTTAATGTTTACAAGATTCATCCACATGTCAACCCGTCATTCCTTCTGTGTATGTATTTTCACTTGAATAAATATATAGGTGCATAATTCACATAGTTGCTAAAGAATAAGTTAAAACTAATGTCACTGTGAATTAGGTAGCCGTAGCTAATGTTAAATTTTGTGAGAAATAAGATTTGCACAATTAATGGCTCAGTATCCTCTTGATGAAGCACACAACTAATTTGTACATTGTACAAAATTTCTCATCCACTAAAATTTTCTAGAATAAATTTCGCCCAGAGAGTTCTAAAAGTTAGGCCGATTTACTTTGAGTAGCAGTAAAATTCAGTCAAGTTTTATTTTCTAGGTCGTTGCATTTAAAAAGTGTCTCTTTACCTCATTAAATCTTTTATCTTGTTCTAAGCCCGGCCAATAAACTTAACTTCATATGCTAAATAGTGAATTACCTAGGATATCTGTTTGCAAGATTGATAGATAGATAGATAGATAGATAGATAGATAGATAGATAGATAGATAGATAGAGATATATAGTAAATCATTTTATTGGGGGCTCTTACAGCTCTTATAACAATCCATACATCAATTGTATCAAACACATTTTACATATGTTGCCATCATCATTTTCAAAACATTTTCTTTCTGCTTGACCCCTTTGGTATCAGCTCTTTTTCCCCTCCCACCACTATACCACCATTGTGAACCCCCGATAAATTATAACTTATTATTTTCATATCTTACACAGTCTGCTGTCTCCCTTCACCCATGGTTCTGTTGTTCATCCCCCTGGGAGTGGGGGGCATTATATGTCCATCATTGCAGTCTGTTCCCAAAATATTTTTAAAGACTACACTAATAGCTGCAATAATTACCACATTGGGTCCTTAGATAGGTTACATCATTTTACACCCATTTGTGTAAAGTGGATATATACCCCAAAAATATGCATAATACAGATAACTGTATTATGTAACTAATGAGTGGGAGCAACTCAATGAATTAATCACAAGAATAGATTGTACTCTGGGGAACAGCATACAATTGTTCTGCATTTGAAATACCTCCTAAAATTACTTTTATTGGAGGTGATCTTGAAGTCATTTTATTTTTCTCCATTATGACTGAAGTTATGAGGGACATTGAGAAAGGGGGTGATCAGATAAAAGTATTGGGCTTTGTGTTGTTTTTTTTTTTTGCTTTTTTAATGTACCACTGGTAGACCAGATGCACATACACTTTTTAAAATTAGTTCTGGTATATAAGATTTCCATACTTTCATTTTTACTTTAGGGATAATTTATTGATCAACTTAAGATTTTTTTGTGTTTATTATTCCTTTAATAATATACAGCATGCTTTGGTTAATTTTAAATGTTAAATGATTGGAGTTTCAGTAGTGTGTCTACTAAATTGTAGACTGATGTGTTAAATGTTAAACTACTACATTTTTCATGATCATCTTAGTTGGAAGCCTATAAAGGATGATTCGTTTTAACCTAAGACAATGACCTAAATATCTAACCTTGATTACAGAGAAATTTGAAAGCTGGAGCTAAGATATAGTAACTAAAGGTCAGGAGGTATAAATCTAATTGCTGATGAAAGTTATCAGCATTATTTTTCTTAAAAGTTCCAGTAAAAGCAGAGGAGCTTATGTTAAGGAGTAGGTAGGTGGTCCTGATACTAATAGAAAATCCTCTCTATTCCATCAATCTGCAGGAGGTAAAAAGACTACAGGTCAGTGGCTACTAAGATATTTAGATGATCTTTTCTTTCATGAAGACAACAGCGATTCCTTCGTGGTAGCAGTCCATGCTCCAAAGATTATTTCATACATATTTAAACTGTTGTGTTGTTTCAAACACAGAACAGCAATTTAAATGCAATCTAAATTTTTTATTAACCAAAATGCAACCTCTTGGGCTCTTTTCTGTGGGGAAATTACAACAATAAATTCCTTTGCCACTGTGGCAAGTTCATTAAGTAGCTCTGCATCTTCCTCTGATTCAGAGAATCCCTTTTGAGCCTTCATTACTTGTACGTATGGTTTATTGTTAACTAATTTTTATCACTGTAAGTTCCTTGCCTCAGATCTTTCAAGAACAGTAACACAGCACATAAAATCTAATAGTAAATTTACTAAAATTGTATCATCTAAAGACAAACGGGCCAAAAGGTTATCTTAAAAGAATGAAATAGTTAAGTAAATAAGTCCTTTTGAGGGAAAACCTTACAAAGTAAAAATTCTTCATCCCCGCCAACTTAAAAAGAATGGCAGGGGAAATATAAAAGAATATTAAAAGGTTTCTGGATGTAATGATGTGGTTAATTCATTCCTTGCCATATAGATCTGTAACCTATTGGCTGTTGAGCCCCTTGTAATGAATGAGGCTAACAAGGTAAATGATGATAGCTTACGGCTGCCATACAGGCCCTGATAATGCAGATAGATGTTCAGTCCTAGGAGAATGGCGGTGGGAAACTCTTGATAAGTATTGACTCAAGGGAGTGTCGTGTTTTCATATATGTCTTTTCAAAATGTCATGTGGATGCTACAGGTACAATGGTAGGGGAGGGAACCAGGGAAGATGGAAGACCATATACTACTAGTATAGTTGGTCGCTTGGATCAAGGTACTGGAATGCATTTAGAGAGAAGGAAAATTATGACAGACAATAGATAAAATATGTGATGGTAATTAACAGGATTAGAGAGGTAATGAGTCTAAAATCCTTATGTTTTCAACGATGATGAAAGGTGGAAGGGTGGTGCCACTTACTGAGATAGGTAACAATAAAGAATATTTAAGAGCCAAAAAAAATGGATGTAGGCTGGGTTTGTGTTAAAATATAATCCTGTTTTCAGCTTTGAATTTGAAAGCTGAAATAATATCTTCCTTAGTTGTTAATCATGTAAGAATGTTAAGGTCAAGTATTTGCTGAATGCATAAGCGTTGTCAGGAGATATGACGCACTTTTATGAAACTTCTTTTGCACTGCAGAGTGGATTAAACTCAGGGTTCAGTCCCATAGATTTTTAAACAACCTAAACATTTACAAGGAGTCTCCTCCATGACGTTTAATCTAGAAGGAAGCAATAACCTCATTGCCAAGTTCTCTTGACCTATCAAATTGGGTGGAGAGAACGAATGATCCGTAGAGCTACTTGTAGCATTAAGCTCTATTAAGTTATGTTTTTTCATACGCACATGAAATTTCCAGTAAGCAAAGGAAAACCCTCTTGAACCATGTTTTTGGTGTGTGGGCAAGAAGGTCCTTTGGAGAGTGGTACCATTAATTTTGTTACAGCCTAAGAACACTAAATGGGACCCCAGTGGTATATTGGAGCACATGCAGGTAATCGCATGGTAAAGGCTTCAATTCATTTTGGTTATTGTGGAAAATCCCCAACATCTTTTAAAAAGAAATAAATAGAAGAAGGCTTTACTAAATGAGTGGGAAACCCTTACCTCGTGAATTAGTAATTTATACTGCTCTCCCATCGTTCTGTCTCCATACTGGCATCGGATTCCCTGTTGTTACTGGCATCACGTGTTCTTAGAGTACAGTGCTGTGGGGTTCAGCATGATAACATTTAGGAGCCTAACTGAAGGTGTCTGTTCTCCTGCCACTTCTTCTTGGCTTTGTTGGATGAGGAAGTAAAGACTAAACTGCTCTTACTATCCAATATAGTGGTAGGTAGCAGATAAAGCGCCTATGTTTTAAGATGGACCACATACTGGTAGTAGTTGAATTTGTCTGTGTGACAAGTACACTGAGGTTTATCACAGTACTGCCTACAATTGTGTATTGCAAAAATTTCTGCAATAAGAAGGTAGTTTTTAAAATATCTTTCACTCTTTTATAGGAAGCATGTCAGTTTTACAACATCTATCTTGTGATAATTCTCAATATACAATCTTTATAGCGAGAGAACAAAAAACTTCAGCTATATAAATCAAAACCTGTAGACCTTTATAATTATTTCCCTGTCGTGTTTCACATATAAGAATGTTCATCTTTTGTTTCAGGGACAGAATGATGCTGCTGAAATTGGAACAAGAAATTTTAGATTTCATTGGTAATAATGAGTAAGTCCTGACATTTGGCAAAAAGCAAAATCAGATCGTCACCTGCTGTTTTTCAACACACTAAATTGGTTTTTCTTCTACCTCTAGGTCTCCACGTAAAAAATTCCCCCCAATGACATCGTACCATAGGATGCTCTTACACCGAGTAGCTGCTTACTTTGGATTAGACCACAATGTTGATCAGAGTGGGAAGTCTGTCATAGTAAACAGAACTAGCAATACAAGAATGTAAGTGTCAAGAGATACAGGCACATGTTTTATGTCTGTATGATGATACGTTGTCTTTCTATCCTTACCCTTTAAGTTCTCCATAGGTGCAAGCAACCTTATTAAACCTCGAGATAGCCTGATGTGATAGAACCAGAAAATACATGTAGCTCACTAGGAATAAAGTGTACTGGTCCGCACTCAAGACAGAGGATTGAGGCCCATGGCATCTCATTTGTTTTAACTCAGAAAGAAGGCATAGTATCAGTAGTGTTTGATAGCCATTCTCGTATGGGCTTGGGGGGTTGTTGTTTTGTATTAATGAGATTTTTTTAAAGAGCTACAGCCAGTCTCCTGACAATTGTGGTCCGATTTAGCTAATCATGTATCAATTTGCCATTATTCCCTCCTGTTTTTTGCACCTTCCCTCCCACAAATCTCCAGAAGGTTGGTGGACAGGCTAACACAGTATTATCTGTTATGCCGTATCGCTTCCTGGACAGTGGGCAATTTGCTGAGGACATTTCTCACAGAGCTAGGAGGAGCCCTTTCCTTTTACAAAGTAATGGCTGTGAAGTGTTGGTGAAATAGGCCGTCAGGACCAGTATCTGAGAACAGAAGCCTCAATGCAAAGGCCCCCATAAATGGTAACGAGTTTGTATAGCCACTGCTTGTGTTTGTTTGTAAGGTTACTCCTGAGGTTGCTAGTTGAGACAGCTAAAATCTGCACTGCCATGGTGACCTGCCTATCTAAAAACTTTTCTTTAAGTGGGAGATAGGGGGAACCGATCACAATGATCGACATATAACACACCCCCACCCCACCCCGAGGGGGATGAAGAACAGAAATGTGGATGAAAGGGCAGCAGATGGTATAAAATATGATAATTATTTATCAAATTATTGTGAGGGAGTGGGGTGGGGAGGGAAGGGTGAAAACAGGAGCTGATACTAAGGGCTCAAGTAGAAAGAAAATGGTTTGAAAATGATGATGGCAACATAGGTACAGGTGTGCTTGATACAATTGATGTAAGGATTGTTGTAAGAGCCCCCAATAAAATGATTTATTTTTTAAAACCCTTTTCTTTATCATTTTCACATATGAGAGCAGTGGTATATGGTAATTAGCAGTCATGCACTATAGATGCCATAATAATACTATTCACTTCTCTGCTTTCCCTACAGCCAGACTTGTCTTGGAAGGCTTGTCTGTGCACCAGTTAATTTGAATATTAATTTATGTCTCTTCTGTTACTAATGGTCTTTACCTTTATATTAGCCATATTGCTTGCTGGACCTAAACCAGGGTGTCGCTCTCCTCCCCCCGCCTCCCCCCGGCAGATAGTCTTTTGTCAATAAATAGATAGATGTATGGAACCTAGTATTTGTAAACATCTGTTCCAACAACTAAAAGCGAATCAATGTAAGTAAGGGTCTGTGAAAAATATTACCAGTAAGTGTAGACCTGACTTCATTTTCATCCATCTGTTCCTTAGTCTTAAAGTATACTCGTCAATGGATACTGGGGCCTTTTCCAGATTGTTTACATCATGGCTAATGTAGAGCTGAGTTACCATTAAGTTGTGAGCTGAGCTGAAGGAGACTGGAACTCAATTCATTTAACCAACACCTTTCACCATTGCTCAAAGCTGCTGGAAACCCAAGCTCATGAACATTAGCAGGCATTTTGACTTAACATTTTGACTGGCGACTCTCTAAGGTTTTCAATACAGTGTAACATCAGTAATTTGAATGCTGAAAAAGATACTAGAAAGCTTTATATAGGGTCCTCCTTGATAATCCAAAGTTCAGCTCACGAGAGATGCTGTGGTGTACTGAAGGAAGAATGGGTCTATAACATGATGATAACTGACATTTCAGATCATTGAAGTTACACTGTATTTGTATTGTACATCACCTGGGATATAAAGAAGGCCGTGACTCGGAAAACCTTAGAGATCTGCTCCACACTGAATAAAAACAAACTTGCCTTTTCCTCATAGGCAGATTACCCGCTCCAGCCTTGAACCAGTGGTTTTGTGGATGGCAACAACCCGGTGTCCACTGGGCTGTCTCAATGGAGCGGGGAGTTGGCGATTGCAGGGCAGTAAATTCAGGCATCTGTAAAACAAAGAGGTAAGACAGTCTTAAGGTTAGCTGAAATGCCTGCTAATGCCATGTGATAATGGGAATCCAGCTCCTCGTAGGAAAGTTGTCAGGACCCCGGTTAAATTGTGTAGTTCGCTTTGGAAAAGCACAATCTCTCATTCGGTTACAAATGCCTTGGTTGAGAAAATGTGTCTTTGAACAGAAACAAACATAGTAGATAAACAATCAGCTGTGCAATTGTGTGTCCAAAAATAACAACCTATCTCCAACTAAAGAGAGCACCTTTTCAACTCTTAAAAAGACTGCTTCATCATTTGGTCACAAAGTTTGTTTTACCTTTCTTTGTTTTATGCTCTCTTTCTCCCTCCTTTACTTCTGCGTACAGCTTTTTACAGAGATCTGCTCTCCATTTCACTGATCTATTTAAAATAGTGATTGCTTTGGCTTGCTAAGATAAGTCTCATTTAAAATTTCCATTTGCATAATTTGGCAGGAGGCAGGCACAGTGCTCAGTTAAAAATTCACTAGCTTGAAACAAATACTCAGAAGTGTGACATGAGATAGATATATAGATATGGATATATGATGAAATACCTGGTCTTGGTATGCTGAAATTGTTAATACCCAACCCATTTGGTCCTGAAACTCTAGTTTGGGCTTACATGTATTTAAACTATAAGCCCAGATACCGTACTCACTCTCATGGAGTCAATTTTGAGTTACAGTGACCTGTAGGACAGAGTAGAACTGCCCTTTCAGGTTTCCAAGGCCCTAAGTCTCTCTGGGAGTAGAAAGCCTCAACTTTCTGTCAAGGAGTGGCTAGTAGTTTTGAACTGTTGCCTTAGCAGTTAGCAGCCCAAAGTGTCAAGGCTTCCATTAGAAACCCTTTTAATCTCTAAGTATATTTTTTATATAACATATATTCTAAAAGAACATTTCCACAACACGATGATATAAAGTCACAGGAATGTTAAAAGAATGAATTTGATTTAAAAGCTCAAAAGGACAGTTCTACTCTTTAAAAAAAAAAAAAGAATGACTTTGTTGAAGATTCTGTATTGTAGGAGATGAAATTCTATATACTGGTAACATTCCAAAGTTTCCAACCTCATATCTGTCTTCTGGCTCTCAGGGGAACTTGCAAGAAAGAGGAAAGGGCAATTAGCTGTCAAGTATATTATTAAGATTCCATAATCAGTACTTCAGGTCACAACATTAACCACCAAAAACAAATTTCACTTTTATAACCTACTATATAGAACAAAGCTGTACTCAAAGAATTGAGAATTATGGGCAACTTTAGATGCGTTTCAACTAGTCTCACAGTTTATTACTTTCTATTACAAAATACTTTATTACTTTAAATTACATAATGCCAAAACGGCAGCCATATATATGTATCAGATATATACTGTACATCTTTATACTGGAATTTTTTTCTTAGATGTAGATTTAGAGGAGCAGTGGACAGAGACTTGGAGTCTGAGAAACCTGAGCTCCCATAACAGCCTTGGAATTGCCTATGAGCTGGTAGAGTTGCTGATACCATTTGAAACTCAGTTTTCTCAGTATGCATAATGAGAACATTCTACTGAGTATTTACTATTCGAAGTACTGTGCATGTATCAATTCATTTCCTCTTCCAAACAACCCTCTTAACTTGGCACATTATAATTCCCATTTTGTAAGTGAGTAAACAGGAGATTTGAAAAATTAAACAATCCATGTGAGTCCCAAAGCAAGTAAATGGTAAAACTGAATTTTTGAGCCCTAGCAGTCTAACTCAAGAGCCTAATACCATATTTGATTTTGTGTCTCAAATAGATTGTGGGGTGGTGAAGTGAGCAACCCTGTGCACTCATTTAGGGATTAATGCGATAGCATTAATTATCTCTATCTCACTAACAAATTGTAACTCACTATTTTTTATGAAACAACTATTATGTGTACATTTCCCATAAATGTTGCTTATGATCTTTTTGGTTCCTTTGGGCTTTTTTAGACCTGATCAGAAATTCAACGAACATATTAAGGATGATAAAGGTGAAGACTTTCAGAAACGCTACATCCTGAAGCGAGATAACTCTAGCTTTGATAAAGATGATAACCAGGTAACCTAGAGCAATTAGAGCATCTTTGTAGGTAGTGCTGTGCCAGTCAGTCACTTTCTGCAGATTTCATTGTTCTCTTTTCTCTAGATGAGAATCCGATTGAAAGACGACAGAAGAAGCAAATCTATAGAAGAAAGAGAAGAAGAGTACCAGAGAGCTAGAGATCGAATATTTTCCCAAGATGTATGTACTAAGTTATGTGTAGGTTTTCATGTTAGAATTTATTCTAGGTTCATTGTAGGACCTCACTCTCTGCAATTAATGGGTCACATTTCTTTTGAGCCCTACTTGTTACATACAGGGTTGCTTTTTAGAAAATTTGAGGTGTCTTGGTTAAATAAATAATTGAGTAGTTTTCAAAATGCTACATTGTGATAGTTAAATAACATTTTACAAAGTTGAACGTCTACTACGGGAATGAGCTGAGCATAGAGTCTGTTATTCTCCCCGGTCCCCCAAAATTTCCAAAAATCTTAAGATTTTTGGAACATTGGTCACTGTCCCCAAAATCATATACTCTAAACTCTCCTTAGTTATTGGACTTTCCTTACAAAGTAACTTAAGTTAGTTGTATTTTCAGAATAATATTTGTTTTGTACTTTATAAGTGATTATATAAAGAGGTCTTTCAAATGTTGTAATTCTTTGGTGTGTGTGTACCAGAAGAGAACAGAATCAGTTTGGTTTTACTAGAATTCTTTGGAGTACTAGAAATTATTCAAGTACTTACAAATGTATTTAACGTGCATTAACATTGCCAGGCAGATACTTCCTCCGTGTTAAACACAGACTAAATAGCATTAAAATATAGACCATCGCTTAAGAATGTATAACATTCATTCATTCCAGTGCTATGTTGGACACCAGAGAACGTAACCATAGATAGGTATAATTTATCCCCAAAGTAACTTTCCATGGCAGATGCTAGTCCTGTCTCTGTTTTTCAGATAAGGAAACTGAGGCCCCAGGAGGCTAAGTAACTAGTGAATGACAATATGGATAGATGATGGCAGAGTTAGCTTCCAGCCCAGGTTTGCTGACCTCAGAGCCTACGTTAAGAGCATTCCTATCACTAATTTATAGAAAAAACAAGAGTTCTACCCTTGATAAGTAGCCAGGTGATGGCAGTAGGGTAGTGTACATGATTACTGGAGGAATGAGGGAATAACAAGGGGCAGTGCCGGGAAGACCTGCAAATGATGGGGCATGGCAGAGCGGCACTGTAGAACTGGGTTGACCAAGAGCTAGCTTCCAGGAAAAGACCTAGAAGAGTGAAGGCTTTCGAGAAGGACAGTGGCTGCAGAGGTAAACGACGAAAATGACCCGTTTGAAGAACTGTCGAATTTAGAATAGCTTGATTCTAGCATGGAAAGTAGCAAAGGTTGTAGATAGGAGACATGATTAGGGACCGGGTGACTCAGCCCTGTAAGTCAAGTGAGGTGGCTGGAGCAGGAGTTGACACAGTTTCTATGAAGGCCAGATGGTAAATATTTTGAACTTTGCAAGCCAAACCTTCTACTGCAGCTACTCACCTCTTAGTCTGAAAGCAGCCATAGAACTATGTAACTTTAAAAAAAGAGCTGTGTAACCAAATGGGCATGACCATGTTCTAATCAAACTCTGTCCAAAAACAGGTGGCTCGCTGTTTGTGGCCAAGCCCTGTGCCAGACCCTCAGGGAGTCATTAGGGAGGGAGAGGCATGAGTGGATTTTGCATCTTTGAGAGATTGTTCTGACTTCCCATTGTATACAAATAGATGAAGTAAAAAATGAGGAGCTGATGCCAAGGACTCAAGCAGAAAGCAAATGTTTTGAGAATGATGATGGCAACAAATATACAAATGTGCTTGAAACAATGGATGTATACAGTATATGGAATGTGATGAGTTGTACCAGCCCCCAATAAAATGATTTTTTTTAAAATAGATGAAGTAGGCAGATAATGGTAGCTAGAAGACTACTTAGAAGAGTGTTAGGAGAATCCTAACAAAAATACTGGTTGCCTGACCTATGTTAATAACACTAGAATAGTTTGACTATATTCTCCATGAAGGCATGGCTGCTTGTTACCTGGCTGTATCCACAGCCAAAGCACAGTGTTCAAATATTTGTGGAGTGAATGAAATGGAATCGGCAGACTGACTGGTGATTACTTGAATATATGATAAGGAAAATGGATTTACTTGTTTAAAGGAGAGTCTTTGAATGTCAAATTAATTTGGATCACAAAGTGAAGGGCTTCAAGATATGTATCTGTTAAAGGCCAGCAGCATCTCCAGTCCAAATAAAGATTTCATTTACGTTTATTTGTGTACTCTGATCATCATTTGGGTGCTTTGGGTTTTTTGTGTTTGTTTCTTTGGTATTTTTTGTTCTGAAAAGCACATGCTTTTTACAGATGATGAGATATGTCTGTTGATATTTCTTGCCATTGGTTTACAGATGGCAAATAGTAGTTGATAAAAGCTCAACTTTTTATCACTCTTCTCTTTTCTAGTCCCTGTGTTCCCAAGAGAATTATATTATTGACAAAAGGTGAGGGGATTTTTAACATTTGTTCTGATAACTCGCTGACAGACGGTGATAAAAATTAAAATGTCTTATTAAAATGCCAACAGAATCCAAGATGAAGATGCTAGTAGTACTCAGCAGAGGCGCCAGATATTTAGGTATTAGATGCTTGTTTTCAACAAAGTCTTGAAAAATTGAAGCATTTCTTCTTTATTCTCTCTTCCCCACCCGCCCACCCATTAGCTTTTCAATGTGTTGTTCCTCAATGACAGGGTTAAGAAAGATGCGTCAGGGAGATCAACTAATAGCCATCACAGCAGCAGCACAGAAAACGAGCTGAAGTACTCGGAGCCAAGGCCCTGGAGCAGCACAGATTCCGACAGCTCTCTCCGCAACCTAAAGCCTGCTGTCACCAAAGCCAGCAGCTTCAGTGGGATTTCAGTCCTAACAAGAGGTGATAGTTCTGGAAGCAGCAAGAGCATAGGCAGGCTTTCAAAAACAGGTATAAATACCCACCTTGAACTGTGCACTCACTTGACTTTTAATGATCCTAAAATGCAAAATTTGTACCAGTGGTGTCCTGAGCTTCCCCCAGAGTACTTCAGGGTGTATTGGCCATTAGGATTTTTTCTTTAGTCTGGAGACAGATTTACAAGCATAAGTTGAAACACAAATTCTTCTCTCATGCAGTAAACTTAGGTTGGTTTCGTGAAATGTCATCTCTTATGTGAGTACCCAAAGGTGGTTGGAAGTTGTTTATTTCTCTCACTGTTCTTTAAAAGAATCAAAAAGTCTCCTTGATAAAGAGCCAGTGAAGACAATGTGGTGTATGACTTGTATAACAATAGAGACTTGAGGGAACAATAGGGACCCTAACAGAGCAGCAGTGGGGCAAGGACAGCGTGTATTCTCACGTAGGATGCAAAAATTATTTTCCAGTTAATGTTTTGGTGATTACATGCTCACCTCCACCCCCCATGATTAAGTCCATTTGCCATTCAAAAAATGAATAAAACTGCAGAGAGGATTTTGAGGAACTTAAAAGCCCAAGAGGGAAAAATATGATGTAATTATTATAAATGACTGGCCATTGCCGTCACATCCTCATCCTCCAAGATCCATTGTTGTTAGAGTACATTGGCTCACAATATTTTTCTTTCATTAACTGGCTTCAATACTGACAAAGTTGACCTCATCTACCATGAAAGTCAGAAGAAATGGGCCTCTATCCGTAGCCTGTTTGAGGTTGACATCTGTATTGTTCAGATGAGTATAGAAGGTAGAGATTTACATTTGATGGGAGAGTGCTTTTTTTTAATAATACCTGGATAATCGTTATTGCTTTAAGTTCCTAAGACTTATGAATTGCACTTACCACCTTTTTAACTCACAATATAGGGATAACAAATAGCTTTGTGTGGTACAATATTTAATAATAAGTAAATTCTTGAATATAAGAGGGTTGTATGTGTACATATGGTCGTCATAACAACTAACTACTCATATCATGAGAAAGCCATTTAGATGCATTGCTGATTTAAGACATATTAGGAATAGTACCTCTTTATATTCTGTATTATCTTTAGAGATAAAAAGAATATTATCTAATCCTTCATAAATGGGAAATTATCTCGTTCTTTTCCTCAGTGCCTAAGATAAGTATATAAAGTTCTGTTCAGTAGTAATTTTGGCGCAATTTAAAATTAAAGTAATTCTTAGAAGATAGTCTCGTTATATTTCATTTGTTGAATTTTGTCTTTAAAGCTTAAGCCTCCATCCCCGGGTTAACTCCGCTATTTAGAAGCTAATTACCCATGTGCGTGACCCCTTTCTCCTCCATTGCCCATTGTCCGCCTGTAGCCATGACGCTGCAAGTCAGTGGCATTTTCAGCCTCTGCTGGCAGACAATGAAGTGGTAAATCAATCTGTGAAAGAATTTTTTGGTGAGTTTGTTTATTAAGTGCAGGGAAAGGATAAAATTTAAGCTAAGGCTAATATAAGTACACGGACTATCTTCATGTTACCTCTGTCGCCTGATAAGATAAAAAGTCTGACTCACAATGAGAGGAGAAACCCTTGTTTCTCACAATAGGGAATGATTCATTTCCACGATTTCCTACACTACTCTTAATCTTGCGCTGTTCTAGGTTTGGGGCATTTGGATGTGCTAAATTCTTAACCCTGGGGGAGGGAATTATAATCTGTATATTCCTAGGTACTGATCTAAATGGTAAACCGTACACAACTTTGTCCTATTTGGAGCATGGGTATTGTGCTTTTTTGGTGACTGCTGCTAGTGGTAATTATAAATTGCACACTTTTGCTATGAGTTCTCCAACCACCTGTGTCACCCGTTTGCTATAATGTCACTTGTTCCTGGGGGAGAGGGCGGAAAGTAACTTTCCACAGTCAACCAAGAGGAGGCGTTGCTTTCATGTGGTAACTGCATGCTACTCAATGTGAATTTTGCTGTTATGTTTTTAAAATCTGCTGCATTTTTACTGTAAGGTTTACAAAATCCGTTTTCATTACTCCTCCGTAGGTTCTGAGTCTTCTGGTAGTGTAGGGTCATCTACGGGCTCTCTTTCTCACATCCAGCAGCCTCTTCCACGTTCAGCTCTCAGCCAGTCTTCTCATGGCACGCCTGTCGTCTATCCAACTGTCAGCACTCATAGTTCTCTGTCCTTTGACGGTGGCCTAAACGGGCGAGTCGCAGCTCCTAGCACTAGCTTCTTTTTGCTTCCCTTGGAAGCGGCAGGCATACCACCTGGCAGTATTCTGATCAACCCGCAAACAGGTTGGTACCCAAAGGTGTTGGCTATGTCACTTGAGATAGCAGGAGTTATCTGACAATGAAAGAGTACTTATCATATGTACTGTCTGTTGTATGTGTTGTTAGCTTTGTCTTTTTCCTGAAGGATGACTTGTTTCCTGAAATCTTTTTTCTGTTGTGTGACAGCTGTTCTTGACACAGCAAACTACTGGACGCAATCTGGTTGCTGTTTTGTTTTTGGTTTTGTCTCTTTTTTTGTCTTTTTTGTTTTTGTCTTTTGTCCAAGGGAAAGAAAAGAATTTTCGGAAGAAGGAGAAAGTAAAGAGCTCTTCATTATTGGATAACAAAGTGGGGGCAAACTACCATTAATTACCCTTCTGAATATAGTCATTGTTTTTTGCTGAGGAAAATCTAGAAGGAAAAAAATCATATCATGAGTAAAGGGAAATGGGGAGCCATTGATGAATAACACTTGCATGTTCTTATTCTTTGCAGTGAGCTAATAATAATTTACATTCTTTGAGCATTCACTATGTGCCATAAGCTGTGTGAGAGGCTTTAAATGTGAAGGTTCTGATCTTTATAAAAACCGTATGAAAATGAACCCCCCCCCCCTTTTTACAGATAAGGACACACTGAGCCTCAGCAAGAAACAGCAACCTTCACATACTTCACTGTGTAAATTGGCAAAAATGACTTTTATAGAGATAATCCAAACCTTTTAAAGATCCCTAGAAGTTCTCCTCCATATTCAAAATAATGTACCCAATGATTTGGTGTAAGATAATCACCCTAGATATTTTGATAACCTCCTTAAAAAATATACAAATGTCTCGAGCCCAGTGGTATATTGGTTGCAAGTTGGGCTGCAACCCGCTTGACTGGTGGTGAGAAAGCACCATCAGCTCCGAGTGAAAGACGGCTTTCTACTCCCGTAAATAGTGACAGCCTTGGAAAGCATTGACTCCAGGGAAGTGCCAAGGTCTCAAAGAGCGTTTCTTTTTGTTAGTAATAAGGAAAACCCAGGCCTCGCGTTTATTACCTTTAGGGTTCATTCATATCTCCTTTTAAGAAACACTATTTAAACAATTATTTCTATTATAAGAAATACATTAGCATAAGTAACTTTTTGTTTGGGGGGGTTTGTTTGTTTTTGTTTGCTAACAATTATCTTACCCTTTAGGCCTATTGTATTACTAAACAGTCATTTTTTGGAGCTGTCTTTAAGGTGGCTTAATGTCTTACTATTTTATTCCCTGCTATTTCCCTTTTGTAAAATATTAGTTTATACATTCTTGACTGTGAAAAAGTCTGTAGAGTAGAAACAGAGAAGGTGATCAACCTTAAATTGAATTGTTTTCTTAATTTTAAATGAACCCAATGTGACCTCTTTGGAGTTCTGGTTTTTTCCTTAGACTATTGGAGGACTACCATAACCTAGTTAACTTTTTTCAAGAAGCCTTTAAACTATGTTTAACATTTCTTTCAAATCTACTGTACCTTTTTTTCCCCTTAAGCTCAAAATTATTTTAAAGTCAGCAGATAACTAGTTTGACTTGTTTAATTCATCCATAGCGTATCGCCTAAAGTAATTCAAGAACGAATTTGACTTTGAAGGACTTTTCCTGCTTGGCGACCATAGAGTAGGATAGCCTTAAGGAACTCTGGGGGCAACACAGTGGTTCAGCACTGGGCCACTCACTCAGAAACACCAGTGACAATTGCTCTCCCAAAGATGGACACCCAACCGCACCCATTACCATACAGTTGATCCCGACTCATAGTGACCCGAGATAATAGAATGGAACTGCCCCGAAGGGTTTCCAGGGCCAGAGTCTCTATAGAAGCTGAAGGCCACACCTATTTCTTGGACATTGGTTGGTCGACTTGAAACACCAACCTTTTAGTCAACAACTGAGTACTTAACTACTGTGCCACCAAAAGTACAGCCTCAAAACCCCTTTGGGGAATTTCTTCTCTGTCACATGGGGTTGCAGTGAATCAGACTTGACTGAGTAACCCAACAACAGAGTCTTCCCAAATATGTCTAGACTCCCCTCAGAGGAAAAAGTGGTCGACACAAGCTTGCCAGAGAGGAAGGAATGTTTTAAAGGCGCTGTAAGAAACTATTATTCAGTCAAATGACACTGTGCTCCTGGGTTTTATTCTTGTTATTCTAAATGGGTGCTAGAGTCAGTGGACAATTTATTTCACATTGTCTTTTCATTTTATGGCTCTTTTTACAATAAGTAAAAGCACTAATCTTTGGGGAAAATTCTGCATTGGAAAAAAAATCTGGAAGAAAATGTCCAAAATGTATACAATTTGATTATAGGGGATTTATATTCCTCTGATAGGTGTTTGTGAGTTACTCTCCTTTAATCAAAAGGGTTACTCGTCATAATTTTAAAAAATGTTTGGAATGTATGTATATATAAAAGAGTATAAATTATGTTACTAAGTTACTTCAAATATGCATCTCTCATCCCAGTAATTAGTTAAAATAAGAACAAATTCTGAAAAGCAACACCCAGTTTTCTATTTTATCTCTTACCTACAAACCAAGCTCAGATTTTAAATATATATTTTATAAAATTATTTAGAAATAAAAGGAAATTATGAGAAACTTGGGAAATTAAAAAGACGGGCACTGCCATGAAGTTCACAATTCAGCATTGTGGCTTCCGTTTCATTTCACCTGGTTCTGATTCTTTTTAATATCTGCAAGTAGCCCGTGAATGTGATGTTTTCGACCGCCTAAATAGAAAATAACCAATAATTTTTCAGAATTGCAAGTCATTTATTTTTCCCTTTAAAACAAAATGTATTATGGTGCCATCAATCCTTTGGGTAAAATGCATTTCACAATTCAAAAGGCATCACATTTAGGCAAACCTTGTATATTATAAAATCCTCTCAGTACGATCTGGGAGCAAACACTACAACCAAGCATTTTAAAATTTACTCTTTGAAAATTGATGGCTATTAATACCTTAGATCAGATCGGCTTAAAATCATTTGGTTCTAAGTGTTAGGGATTTTGGAATTGCGAATAAGGGATTTGGACATGTATTATAAATGTTTAATAAAATGACCTGTTTCCTTATCCATCTCTGGTGCAAATGATTTTTACCTCCTTTTAAAATTTTTCAGGTCAGCCCTTCATAAACCCAGATGGGAGCCCAGTTGTGTATAATCCTCCTATGACTCAGCAACCAATCCGAACCCCAGTGCCTGGACCTCTACAGCCACCTCTGCCGCCCCCACCACCTCAGCAGCAGGCAGCCAACCAGATTTTCTCACAGGTGCACATATCCACCATTACATCACGCTGAGTTCTCTGGTTATAATTAAGATTGCCCAATAAACATCTCTCAGAGAGCTACCATCCTGCCAACAGTGATGTCCTCACAGGAAGAGGAGAGGTTAACTCAGGGCATTCTAACTAATGAGTACTGCATATGCATTGGGAAAAGGACATTGGGCTTTTTTTGTTTTGTGGCCCCATTTGGTAAGTATTTGCCCGTTTCACAGCAGCAAGAAGTAGAGGAAGGATAAAGCAAAACTAAGATTGCTTGTTGTTTCAGCAAGCATCGTGAGTTGTCTGGGTGCTCAGCAGATCACACAGCTGCACAGATTCTGCAGGGCACCCCCACCATCACACTCGAGAGCGCGCAAGGGAGAACGTCTGAGAGTTAGGGTTCACAAAAAGCACTCTTACTAATATCTTGAATTTCTATAAATATAGAGAGTTTAAACATACATTTTCACATTCACTCTTTCCTCCAACGAGTTGCACGCATCCTTGCAGAGTTTGGTTATATTTGTGTAAACTCTTGAGCCTTTAGTCCAACTTTAACGATTGGCTAACATTTCAAAGGCAGTTTAACACAATTAAGTTGTTCCTTGTAAAACTAGATATGCTACTGGTTAAAATATGCCCAGTGATTTCTTAATGAAATGAATATGCTAATATTTGAACTGGAGAAATTTCATTCATTTTACTCACAAGTCATAACATTTATTTGTATTGCGGGGCTGAAGAACTTATAAGCAGCCTTATAGAATTGCCATATATTTTGAAAGGCATGAAAATGATTGTACCTCTGTCAATGAAGAGTCCTTCTGGGCAAGACAGGTTGTTTAAAGTAAAAGGACATAGAGGCTTTCGACGCACTACTAAGACTACAAGTGAGTTAGGAGATTGCCTAAAACTGCCTGCGCTCCCGCCTTCCTTCCCCTCATTTCTAGAGCATGAACTCAGGGACGCGTTGGACTCTATGAAATGCCTTCGCTGCCTTTTCTTCATTCAGTGTGGTCCAGAAGAGCGTTCTCTAAATTGTGCTCCCACGTAGTTGCCTAAGCAATACTTTATTCGTGTAGCTGGATGGCTTTTTGGGACTGGTTTTTATTTTGTTTGCTTGTCCTCCAATTTGGTGTGGGTAGTGTTAGCTTGTGGTAGCTTCACGAAATCCAGAAGACTAAGTGGGAGTTGCATGAGGAGTCTTTTTTAAAGTTTGTGGGACACTCCCATTATCTTGTGATTATGTTTTTGCACAAACCTCACTGAAGCCCCTTCATATGTTTTCTGATTGATTACATCTTAGAAGTAACTTGCCCTCATTTATAAATGAGACGGTTCAAAATAGAGCTGTAATCAGTTTAAGTTAGTAAAACAGATGCCTTAGTGAAAGTGGAAATCTTGGGGTATGCACAAAACGCCCTCACTAATTTTTCTGTGTTGCCCAATGTTCCAGAGAATCAATTGCCTGGTAAGGAAAGCGAGAATAAGGAATGCATGGTGCTCAAGGGCAGTTTACGCTCTCTGAAATAATATGCCCATGAAAGTTCCGATGCTGTGGTTTGTTCAGCCGGAGACAAACTACAGTACTTCAACACTCTCACGCTGTGAAATGAGCTATTTGAGGTAGACTGTTCTGAGGCAGCCAGAGGAAAAGGGTGCTAGGGCTTTTTAATTTGTAAGTAGTATCAGATTACTCCTGTGATCAGACTTGTTTCCTATCCCAATTTTCTTGTTGACACACGACACTTGGGGTGACATTTATTTATACCACTGTTGGGCAGTACTTCTCTTTTATCCCCCCAGTAGACAGGAGGCATTTCCGCAGTTGCTGGGTCTAGAAGAAAGTTCTGTCCCAACGGGTGTTAGGTTAATGGCACATCTAGCCATCTTGCCTGGTTGCACAATGGTAACCACCCAAAGGTCAGTCATTCACAGCCACCAGCTCCTTCGAGGGAGGACGAAAGATGCGGCAGTCTGCTCCCAGAAAGAGTTCCCCTTGGAAGTCCGACAGGCAATCCCACGCTGTCCTCTAGGGTCACTGTGAGTCGCACTCCCTCCGTGGCAGTGAGAAGACCCTCGCGACACGACCGCACCTCACATACTGCAGGAAGTGCTGCGCCTTTATTTCCAGTCAAGGGGTTTGTTTCATTCGTTATGAACCACTGTGTCAATTTTCAAATGAAAGTTCAAATCGTTATACATGTTAGGGGGTCCTAAGATTGCCACGTTATATAAATGATGTCCTAACAGTCCATGGGTTTATTTTGCTAAAATGTATGAACTTTGGTCCCCAACGAGTATTTAGGCGTGCTTGATCATATGGAGAGAGTTACTGACAAAGATAATGCCTGAGTTCGTACTGTTTGGTACTAAAAATGAATGAAAATTTTCTTCATTGTTTAGTGCACTGTTGACCAAAGTGGGAGATAACCTGTGGGCAGAGGGGGCAGGGTGGGGTGTGACAGCGACACTGGAACGATCCTGGGGGCCTGCAAAAGCAGGTACCTGCACTTGGTGTGTGGGCTCTAGGGGGACACTGAGTACTTGTTTTATTTTAGTTTTTTTGCCTGAGAAGAGAGCCATAGGCCAAATAAGTCTGGGAACCTATGGTTTAATGTTATGTAGGCAGCCCCTTCATAAAAGCAAGAAGTAAGGATAATTGATTTAGCTTTTACTGACTTAAATCTGGAGTCATGTTTAGGTAACTGTACTTGAAATACCTAAGTTAGCTGTTTTAATTACTCCATAATAAATTCTTTTATCTTTAAAAACCTTTACAATTATATGACAAATTTAGCCATCATTATGCTCTCAATGATTACCGACAGCTTCTTCCATAGAGAGTTTCTTCATTTAGTATTGTTTTTACTATTTCATCTATGGTTTTTAAGATAACTTGATTAATTATAGTATGGGACAGCGGTTCTCAGCCTGCATGTTGCGACCCTTTGGGGGTCAAACAACCCTTTCACAGGGTCACCTAATTCATGACAGTAGCAAAATTACAGTTATGAAGTAGCAACGAAAATAATTTTATGGTTGGGGCATCACCACATGCGGAACTGTATTAAAGGATTGCGGCATTAGGAAGGTTGAGAACCACTGGTTTGGTGGGTATGGTGGAGATGGGGGTTAAACGGGAGATGATGCCAAAGAGTTCAAAAAGGAAGAAGACGTTTTGAAATTGATTGTGGTAGCTATTGTATAATACCGCTTGATGTAATTGAACTATGGAAAAATAAGGTATCTGGATTAGCTCCTAATAAAGTGGTTGGGAGGGGCGGGGAGTGAATAAATAATTACAGTATAAGCTGTTACCAAAAAAGCTGTATCTTTTCCATTGTATGTATTTTCTGTAATTGAATAATGACATTAATATTGTTTGCCATCCTGTTATTCTTCAGCCTGTGCGGCCTCTGCAGTCCTCTTCACAGCCTGTTCCGTACTCTACAGCCCCCTACCCATCCCCGCTCCTGCCAGTCTCACCTACCCAGCAATACTCCGTGGTACTATACCTCTGTTCACCTCTGCATGGCTCTGCGAGCGAGTGCCTGATGAATGCTGGTGACTGATTAATACTACATGGTCTTTTGTGTGTGTGGCTTTTTTAAGTCCGGTACATAAGTACTGAAAAAGCTGTTTATACCCTACACTAGAAATGATTTATTCTGTCTCATAAATTATTGGCCGCATTAGTTGACATTATATGAGTCTTTGAACCCCCATACGCTCTTGCTTCTTCATGTTGAAATAATGTCCAGACTCACTAGTGTGGTCCTGAGATGTAGCAGCACCTTTTCTCACCGAGGACAGGTTCTGGGTGATGTTACAGTAGAAGCTCTCACCTGGGTTTACACTTCCTATTTTCTCCCAGTGCCCTGTGTTCAGTAGATGCACTACCAGCGGTTTAGGGTACATGGAGCTCACAAAGTATGGTCTCCTCTCAGTATTATTTCCAAAGACACTCTCCAGGGATTTGTTGTGATCATGAAATCATGGTACCTCCTTTAATATGTCCCAAGTTAGGCCTCTCAGGAAGTCCTCGGACATACCATTCCCTCATGTTGGCATTGTAGCCGTCCACAGACAGTAATTGAGCATACGAGATGATGGTGGCAAGAACCTCCTCCCAAGGGCCTAACAAAGTAAAGTATCCATGAAATTCTCTTACAATAAGTGTCCCGAAGAACTTGCTCACTTTCCCTAGTGATGCTGTCGGTCAGAATTTATCACTACCACAGTTTGAAATTGTATTCTGAGACAGATGACATGCCCAATCTGAAAGTCCTTCTCGACGCATTTAGAAATCTTCTGGAGATCTTTTGGGGCTTCGAGCTGGTCAGCCTCATTCTTCACTAGCCTTGGCTCTGAATAATTTTCACTGTTCACTTCTAATCTGAAAATAGTGAAAAGTTGCCAGCATTAAGATCAAAAACATTTTCCAGAAAATAAAACAAAAAGTTGTTTTGACGAGCAGCAGATCATTGAAAGAAGAAAATAGCTTTTTCCAAGGTGACTCTGACTGTGTTGTGTAGCCGGGCTTTTCTTTTATAAATAATTGGCCTTGGTATCACAGCTAGTAACTATAGTTTTCCTTTTGAAACTGTTCATTGAACTAGGCTAATGGTGCTGGACTAGGTCAGATCAACCATTTGGGAAGAGTGAGACCGTATATTTTCCATCATAAATTAAGTGTCTCCTTTCAATTCCTTCTCTATAATCTTAGCAATACCCAGCAGACGCTAGAAATTTTGGGCATTCCATTTTGCTCTGACAACTCAATTGCTACAATTTTTATAAGTCACTTTTTTCTAAGTTGACCTTTTAGAAAGTGATATCGAGGCACTTCAGGAAGTTTGTTTGAAATTCCATTATCTTCCTATGCCCTTTTCCACAAAAAAATGAAGCCGCTTCGTAGACCATCCGTTGCCATCTCTGACTCCTTGGGAGCAGGGGAATTACAGTTCAGCTCAGTATTGTCATTGTAACTAGTGTTTTCTAGATCAATATGAGCTGTGAAGACCTGTGTTGGTGAGTCCGAGAAGCACTGGTCAGATGGCATATAATCCATAACCCCACCTTGGCTGGACATCAGTAGCAAAAGCAGGAGGAAACTTTTGTTTGGGTTACATTTGCCTAATGTCATATCACCTCCAGAACAGACTGGAACACACCAGAGAAGAAAAGGATTTACAGCCAAATTATTTTTGAGAAAGAGGATGGAATGAGTGGATTTAATATACTTCATTTAATGACTATAAGTCACTTATATTGTTATAGTATGATAAGAGAAACAATTAAATGCATAGAACCTGAATCTAGGAGAGAGGGAGATTAGGTAAAGAGTAATTAGTACCTCACCTTACTCATTACCTGGCCTTTAAAGTACTTTCAGGAAATGTTAATTATACAGGATAAAAATGTCCAATTTCATGTCCACCTCCTGATGGTATAATGTCCTTTAATCTTCATTTAAATAAAGAGAACTCTTTCTTTTTCATGAGAAACATTGTTATACCACCACAACCCTCCCCTTTTTTTTCTTTCTTTCTTCCTTTTTTTTTGCATACTGTACATTTCCACTAGTTGTTTTTTAAATAATGTATAATGGCAGCATTGTAATGTCCCAGTCTTCCTGCCATAGAGATTTCATTTTCTTGAAGTTGTTCTCTATTAAGGCATATCTGTTTTAGATCAAAGATTTGCATAATATGTATCAATCACTGTTGCTCATTGTAAAATGCATCGCGTGCCTTTTACTCTGTGATAAGTGTAACCTATGCAGAGAAGGTTTGCTAATCACCACCTCTTCCTCTTGTTTAGCAGGACAACCTCGGGTCTCAGTTAAGCCACATGAGCCTTGGACGCCAATCATCTGCTGATGGTTCTGACCCGCACCCCACCATGTTCCAGTCCACGGTTGTTCTCCAGTCTCCACAGCAGTCTGGTTATATTGTCACAGCCGCCCCTCCGCACCATCCTCCTCCGCCCCCACCGCCGCCTCCCCTCCCAGCTGGGCAACCAGTCCTGACTGCCAGCTATTCAGCCTCTGCTCATCCTCTCAGCCAGCCTGGGCTCCAGCAACAGGGCTATATCCCGCAGTCCTCACCACAGGTACATTCATTGTCCGTGCTTGCTCTCCCATGGAAACCTCACACCTAGGGTCAGTTTTTTTTTTGTTTTGTTTTTTTCAGAAAGAATATTCTTACATTTGTACTTAAATGAGTTGTCTATTTGTAAACCATTAGTTTTTGTTGGGTTTTTTGTTTGTTTGTTTGCCAGGGGTTGAGAGTAAGGGGCAATATTGGCCTGATAAACATTTCGTAAAGCATCCGTGATGTTATCATTCTTCTACCCAGGCTTCATTTCACCATAAATGTAATGTTCGTTCTCACTTCCATTTTGTTCGTGTTGCTGTGGTAGGGCTTTCAAACGGAAGCCTTATCCTTCTTAGAGTCTCAATCTAAGTCCTATTCAGACATATTATACCAAGCTGCTTGAGTTTATTTTGGTGCAAAACAATTTTTAAATCCTTGCAGTTTTTTGATAATTTGCATTTCCCATAAACTCTTTGAAGATTCTTCAAAGAGTTGGAGTTGCCATTTTATCCAGGCTTAGCATTCTCTGTCTTTTGATTTGAGTGTGTGGGCTGTTTACATTTCATATAATTACTGACAAAGTTGGATTTAGGTATGCCATTTTAGTGTTCCAGTGTATTCCTTCTCTTGTTTTGTTGCGTTTTTAATTCATATCCCTTTGACTTTGTGTGTGTGAGAGTGTTTCTCAAAAACAACAGTATGTATCTGTAGCCTGTCGCTGAAGCACCCAGCTGCTAACTAAATGGGAAGCATTTAAGACTAACCATTCCCTCCATGGGAGAAGGATGTGGCGGTCTGCGTCCATAAGATTGACAGCCTTGGAAACTCTGGGGGGCAACTCTACTCTGTCCTACAGGGTCAGTGTGAATCTGAATCAACTTGATGTCAGTGGATTTGGTTCTGGGTTTAGCTCATCACAAGTACTTCAAATTAATATTGGCACTGCAAATAAAATAACGAGTATTGTAAAATGCAATTCCATCTATGTCATACCTATCCTTTGTGTGACTGTGTTAAGCTGTTGATTCTCGTTATTCACATATTCTGTATTTGTGGATCCGCCTACTCTGCAAAGTTTATTTGTAACTCCAAAGCAAGACTCACCGGACTTTCATAGTCTCTCACAGTTATGTGCAGAACCCATAGGGGGGAAATGTCAGTTCTCTAGCTCACACTTTCCCTGCTAAGGCTCTGTCTTTTTGTTTCCATTTTACATTTGTCACACGTTTGTGCTTTTATTTTTTATTATTTTTCTGTTTAAAAAGGCCTTCAGATACAGTGCTGAAATGCTGTCTAATGTTCTTAATTACAAGAAGGCTGTGATGTGCCATACAGAGGAAATACTTGCATTAGATCGTGTCCTTTGGGTTTGAATTTTACAAAGCTGTTGGACATGTGTTAGTCCCATCTTGATGAATCAATATGTATTTAACCAAACCCAGTGCTGTTTTGTTGATTCCAACTCACAGTGCCTCTAGGACAGAGTAGAACTGCCCGAGGGAGCCCCCTGGGCTGTACGTGTTTTACAGAAGCATGCTGTCACATCCTTCTCCCACAAGGTAGCTGATGGATTCAAACCACTGATCTTTTGATTGATTGACAGCCAACAGATCAACCACTGTGCCACCAAGACTGTTGTCTTCCATTAAACAGATGTCTTTAAAGAGAAACACAAATAAAACAAGCTCACATAGTTACTGTTTGACAAAAGTGTTGTAACCAGAGGGTCACAAGAATCTATCCTAAGTTTCTTCCAGCTAGCAGTGTATTTCCTAATTCAGTGTTGTGGAAATTTTCTAGAAACTAAGTACTGCAGATAATGATAATAGGCTATACACTGTGATCCAAGGATTGTAAACCACAAAATCCAAAATCAGAGGAAGGAAATGCATTAGAGCTTAAGTTCTGAGTACACATTTTGCAGAAGCTATGGTAGTTAGGCTAAAATTTAACATCTCATCATTTGTTTATCTTTTTATCCTATTCTTAATGTGTCCTATCTTTACTATTTTCTGTTTTTTTACGAATTGAAAAAATAAAACAAAAACAACCAATTATTGAACAAATTGTATAGAAATTGTTAACTAAAAATCTAATTTGCTGGAAACAGTAACATACTGTTTTTTTCCCAAAAATTTAGAATATGATCCATCTATTTAGAATATAAACTCAAAATGTAGTGTTATAATTCATGCCATATGCAATGATTTAATTGAATTAAGAAAGCATGTGTAAAAGGACTTCAAAAAGTTTGTGTCAAAATTTCATTATTCATTTTCCTACAAATTTTGTATGATTTACACATACCCATACATATACTAGCATGTATAATAATGGATATGATTATGTATCATTTACTGTTACCTCTGGGAAAAATTAAGGGATTCTATATGTATTATATCATAGTGGCACAATGGATTAGTCGTTGAACTGCTAGACACAAGGTTGGTGGTTCAAACCCCCCAGCCACTCCTCGGGAGAAAGTGAGACTGTTCCCATAAAGACTTACAGTCTTAGAAACTCTAGATAGCATTCTGTAGGATTGCTATGAGTCGGAATCAACTTGATAGCAGTTGGTTTGTTTTTATGGTGGTTGTCATTGTTTTATACATGTGTGTGTTCTACAGACAGAAGACTTGTGTGCGTGACTGTTAAATGAATTGATGATTCTGTAAACGTGGGAGATTCTTCGTTTATACCTGCTCTAGAAATTCTGGTTTCCAAATGAGATGGACACTCTTACAAACTTAACTAGTTCTATTCTTTTGTAGCTGTAGCCCAGTCAGAAAAGCCTAACTTGATGAAATCCGTGAACCTCTTACCATGAATCAATTAATATTAGCAGAGCTACAGGGTCCATAACTTATTTTTTTAATCCCAAAGCAGATCAGATTAGTTTAAGAGAAATTTACAACTGATATAAATAGGTCTAGAAGGGAAACTGAATGAAGCTAGTCTTCCTGGCATTTTAATTTTCATTGGAAATATGAGCACAACTAGATGGAACCAATGGCATTATCCATTAGTGTTCATAAAAATGGCATGTGGAGGCAGCATGTGGCTTTATAGGGGGAGAGTCACACTCCACATCAACCCAAGGTCAATTCCTATACGGCAGAGTTCAGACATGCCTCCAAATCTCCAATTTTCTTTACCAGTTCTGACATCAACCATCCCTCCCACAGTACTCTATACTTCTCAGCTGGATTTAATAATTCTTTGCATGGGCCACACAGAACTCACAGATCATACTCACAATTATGGGGTTTATTAGGGAAGTTAGCTGGTTATACTTTATGACATAGCTATTTTGTTGAGACAGCCTCATTTTTCCTAGCCATGCTTGCTTAGGGCAATGCTACAAAACTTTGTTAGGGCTGCCAATATATGCTCAGAGAGCATGCCACTCTATAAGACTTCAGCACAAAGGTGCTGAGCTCTAGCTTGTGGGTCAGCAAACCCAGCTCCCTGGAGGCACCTCACTCCACAAGTGAGCCTCCTGCCTCAAGGGACTCAGTTTTGCTTACTCTGTGATCCAAGAAGCCTACCTTTCTCTCTCAAAGTCTGATTCTTGATTCTGCTTTTGCCAATTGGATTGAGGAAGTTCAGTGCCCAGGGATCTCCAGGTCCAGAGGATATGGTCTATTCCTGGCTCTTCATTCTTAATGGTAGTGAGATCCCTATCCTATTTCTGGATGGCTCAATTTATACTCAGTGATTGGCAAAATTGACTAATCCCATTATGAGAGTTTCAAGTTTTCACAATGACAATTAACCCTTTTAACGATCACAGCTGAATTTTCATCATTTTCCCCTAATTGTCCAGACTCTTCTCAGAAACAGAAGATATACACCCTATCTATATGGTTACACCCAGTCATTTGTGGGAGTTACAAAGAGTCTTGACTAGAAGAGCCATATCAATTAAACCTCTACACCACTGTGAATTGAATGAGCCAGTCTTCTAAGTTTGAATAAAAGTAAGTCTCAACAGTGAGACATCCTCTCACAGAAGCATCCCAATGAAGGGATGAGTCAACCAGGACACAGTAAAGCACCGATGAAACACAGTTTTCCTCTGGTTCCTTGAGGCTTCCTCACCCCCCACTATCATGATCCCATCCTGCCTTTCACTGCGGGCTAGGCCGGAACATGTACACAGGTACACAGCAGCTCACGACACACGGAATCCAAGTCAGAGAAACCCTCAGGAACAGAAATGGGAGTGTAGTACCAGGAGAGTAGGCGGAAGGTAGAGAAAGGAGGGGGGAAGAAACTGCAGAGGAAGGGAGACAGCAGTTGGTGTAAGATATAAAAATAGTAATTTGTAATTTATCAAGGGGTCACCAAGATGGGGTGGGTAACAAGAGGAGCTGATACCAAGGGCTCAAATAGAAAGTAAATGTTTAGACAATAATAATGGCAACATATGTACTAATATGCTGATACAGTTGCTGTGTGGATTGTTATAAGAGCTGTAAGAACTGCCAATAAAATGATATTAAAAATAATAATAAATGAATAAAAATAAGTCTCAAATCCAAAGGTAACTCACAGGGAGAATAACATAAATATAATTTTTAAAATACTCAAAAACAATACCGTGTATAGATAATAAATACATAGTAAAGTTAAAAACCATATACAGGATACTGGTTTTTCTTGGCAAGCAGAGCAAAGAGGCAATGGAAAGGCCTTCTAACTTTCTCAGTCGTATTTCTATTCATAAAAGAAAGATCTGAAATCAATACGGAAAAACGAAAACTACCAAAGCCGATTTGTGGGCTAATGTGTGAATGCCATCACCATCATTTCATGTACTTTGGGCATGTCAGGAAGGACTGTCCCTAGAGAAAGATCATCACTGGTAAACTAGGGGGGCAGCAACAAAGAGGCAGACCCCCAACAAGAGGGATCGGCACAGTAGCCACACGGGCTCATGCTGGCGTTGGGCTGGCAATGTCTCATTTCGTTAGACATAAGGTCACTCTTAGTTGAAGCCAACTCAGTAATGCCTAACACTGATAACGTATGTTTGAAATGTTAGTTTTTAGTTAAATTGAAAACCAAGCAAGTCTGTTTTCAGATGGTCAGTACTGACAAGAATTTGTACTCATGACACTGCTGTTCGTCACAGACACAAATGCCTCTTATAATAAAATGTGAATTTTTCCCCCCTAATATTTACAATCCTAGATGCCAGCCTGTTACTGTGCTCCAGGCCACTATCACTCCAGTCAACCTCAGTACCGCCCAGTCCCCTCTGTCCACTACAATTCCCATCTCAACCAACCACTGCCGCAGCCTGCACAGCAGACAGGTGAGTCCTATTTCTTCTTTCACGACTTCTTAGCTGTGGCTCCTGCTTTTCTCCTCGTCCAGCATTTCACTTGTACTCTGAAGATACTACCAAACCCTGCCCATCAGACCTCTCAGATAGCAAACCACTGCGGGAGGGGGGTGGGGGGAGAAGGAGCAGATCTTAGCATCTTCCAGAAGTCCCACACATTCAGTGGCCCATGCTCAAGAGGTGGGGGTGGGGAGCCTAGTGAGAGTCCTGTCAGGCCAAGCAGTCCTGTGGTAAGCAGCTGCCATCGCAGTTGAAACCATCGTTGCTTCCTGGTAACCAAACTATAACAACAGGACAGAGGGGTCCGAAGGCATGTGAAGGCGGATTGGCTCCCTGGAGCAAGGACCCGAACGACCCGACCTTGTGAGCAGCTCTCGCATAGTGATGACACTGAGATCTTAATGTCCGCAGGCATGCCTGCAAAAGATGCTCTCATGCATCTTCTCCGTGTGTGCTCTTTCAGTTTGTTGGTTGTACAGTGAAAGCAATGCCTAAGCCTAGAACAATCTAATGGTAAAATCAGTTGAGACTCAACCTTCTTTTCGTTTTACCCTTTGCAAATTTTTTTCCCATGTGCAGCAAAGACAACTGTGATTTGACTCTAACAACTTGGACTTCAGAATACATCCAACCTCTGTGTACTTCTGTCCCGCATGTCCGACGAAGGATTTGTACAGTCTTTTGTAACACTGGGAGTCAAAGTAAATCCTCCCGCACCCCCACCCCCCTTAATTGATTTCTTTGGAACCTTTTAAGCTACTTATCACTGTTGGTGGCTCAGGATGCCTCACCGGAGCGACATAGCCCCCCCGTCCTCCGCTGAGGTAGTTTACTTCTCTTGATGTTGTGTGGAACTACCGGGGTTGCCGCAAGATCTAAAGGGGAGTCTAATGAAAAGTTTTCTTGTCTCACTCGTGCACAGTTTTCATTGAGCATTGTGACTCACCAACTTCCTGTACTGTGTGTGATTCTCATTTACTGCCTTTGCAGGGAAGCTTCGGCTCCATAATCTGTTTCTCCTGGGTGTTGTTTTATACTTAGTCTGTAGGTTCTCCCTTGATTATGTGTCACCAGTCTTGTATTCTGTGTGTGCTAACTATCCTTCCAAAGGATGTTGTGTACAAATACTGTAGCCAAGGTAAAACTAGTCCTTTGTCTCAAATAAGACTCCCTATAGTTTTGAGTTTGCCTGAAATTATTAGTACATTGTACTTTGAGCACTGTGAAAGATGTCAACGGTTGTTTCTTTTTCTCCATGGGATCCAAGGGTTTGGTCATGGCATGACACTACTCTTCGGTGTTAAGCACATTGCTGTTTCAGTCTAATATATAATGAATGGTTTTCCAAGATTTTTCATACTGTTTTTGTCTTGATTTTTCCTGTCCAAAATTAACAATGCAAATTACAGCTGATGTTCAGAACAAAAAATTTTTAAAAAGAAATGTACCCACAGTCACACAAATTCTGTGAGATCAGTTCATTTAGTCTTTTAGTACTCCCTGTTCCTGAGGCAAAGATTCTGTGTGCAGTATTTATATGCACTTTTAGGTCGTTTCCAAAGCTCCATGTTTTTATTTCTCACTACAGTCAATTTGTCCATAAAATTAAAGCATTTCATCATAGACAGGACCAGCGTGGTACTGCTAATGCATCTCTGTGGACAATATTCCCATGTGCCACTCCCGATGGAGGCCAAAATACTGCATGACAGTCAGGCACGTGTTTATCGTGGCGTGATGATTTCATTGCGGGTTGTTTTCTTTTGCAAATTGTGATGAGAAGTCAGGAAACCATGTCAGTCCGATTGAATCCGGTTAACACAGGTTCTGAAAAAATAGTCCCATGTTTGCATGTTTTTGACAGTAGTTTCACTTTGACAATTCAACTTAGCACTCACAAGAACCGGGGGTTTTCCTGTGACTTATTTTATGTATTGTATGCCTTTGTTTTTGTTTTGTTGGGGGGTTTTGTATTGGACTCTTTTTTTTTTTTTTGTATTGTACTCTTAATTTTAAGCTTACACTAGTTGAAATCCACTCAATTTGAAAAATAAATAAATTCTCAAAACATCCTTGTCTGGAAGGAGAATATATACTCATGAGTATAAAAAGAGCTTCAATACCAACTATTGTGTTGGTGACTGTATTGAACCTTTTATGATAGAATTAGTCCTTGGTAAGGAATATAAACTCTTAAACGATTGTTTTGAAAGACGTTTGTACTTAGGTGAAAGCACATAGAACAGTGTGTGTTTGTGTTGGTGTGTCCTGCTGGACAAGGTAAATGAGAAGGGCAGTGTTTTTGTGTTTGTTTGTTTGTTTGTTTGTTTGTTTGTTTTAACAGACATATGTCGATTCCCATGTCAGTCATTTACGTGCATGGATGTAAGTGTAATGCCTCCCGGGTCTGTCGTGGATTCTCTCCTGTGATTTTCCTACATTCTACTTCTCAGTGTGATTCACTTGTCATGTGTCTTGGGTTTGTGTTTCCAGGCACACACTAGGCCAACAAAGGGTCGAGCGTGTTACTTTTTGTCTTCCATCCTGGTGTGCCTGCATACCATCATTTTCCTCCACAGTAAACCCCCGTCTGTTACGGGAACTAAGTTGAAACCAGTAGTAACAATCCTGTTGGAGAATGACTGTACCAGCCTTGTGTTAGGAATGTGAACTGACTGGCCATGGCCATTCAAAACCGGGGTGAGTGAGCCAACCCCTCCCCACAGCAACAGGAGAAATCCTGGCTTCCCTCAGGGTTTTCCAACCATGCTTGTTATCACAGGAAAGAAAGCCAGCTTCAGGAACCAGCATCCTGGCCGCCCTGGTCTGTTTGTAACTGCTGTTAGGCAGAGCCCTAGAAGCCCCCGGGTTTCCTTTTACTCCTTTGAAGGAAGAGGAGGTTTATTTATTGGATTGCCTCTAGAAACCTCTGTGTGCTCCACAACTGTGATTCTGTGTGTTTCTTGTGAGTCGTTTATTTTAGATGTAGAAAAGATAGACTGTTAGAGAGTTGGTCTGCAACATCTTTGTAACTTACTGTCAATTAGGGGGTCTCACAAACAGCCATTTCAAAAGATCTGGTTATTTTCAAGTTGCAGCCATAGGAATTTATAATCTGAGCCTGTTATTGTCAAATTTACAGCTTGAGTCCTCCAAAGTGTATTATCTGTAAGGGGCTCAGACCATAAACAAAGTTTTCCCACAGGTAGTCATTATAGCAGAGATGGAGATTGATGAGGTCAAGGGCCCTGGCTGTTTTCTTTATAGCTGCTTTACTCTTATAACTCTTTTTGACAAGTTTGCAGCTTCACCATATGCGTTTAAATGCTTTGCAATAATTGGCCTTGTTCCTGAGCTGTTGGATTCGGGGCCGTAGCACTGTCTGAGAGGTTTACATTTCTCACAGTGAACCGGTCTCTTTTTCAGCTGCTTCCTGGCTTCTTTTTACTCAGGTTTCCACTGCATTTTTTTTTTTATTGTTACTGTATTAACATTTGCTTATAGTTTCCATTAATTGTAATGCCTTTTACTTATTTATCATAAGACAGAAATAGGGATTTGAATATAAATGATGACCTTGGCTTAATCTAATTTGCCTTTGGAAAATTTATGGAAGCTATTGCTTTATTCCACCCCCACTCCCACCCCAAGCAGATTAGGACCAGAGATTCGGTTTGGTTCAGAGCTTATATAAATGTTTAATATCTTAAGCATGCAATACTCATTAATAAAAATTAAATATCTTTTGCCCTCTTGCTGCCTAACTCTTTTAGACCTATGATTACACATTTAAACGTGCCATCAAATGAACACTATCTAAACGCATTTGAAGCTCCTTGGGCTCCTCAAAAGAAAATAAAACCATTGAAACCCAGTGCCACCAAGTGGATTGCAGCATGTGGCACCCCCAGCTCTCACAGAATAGCACTAAAGCTCGAGGGGGTCTGTGTATGTAATCCTGGTGCAAGCAAGGTACCAGGGCTTTTGTCACCAGCATCGCTGTGTGGACTCAAATTGCCAGCCTCGCAGTTCGTAGCCAAGCACAAACTGTGCACCACTCAAAAACTCACCTGGGCTCCCACCATTGTTATCTTTCATAATCTCACCAGCACCCCAAACTGCACTCTTGTGTGTCTATTGAGATCAAAATGATTGTGTGAAACTAAATATCATTTTAATTTTGCAACCAGTCGATAACATCAGAAAGAGCAATATGTTAAATCTTCAATCTTGGCTTGCCATATAATTTGTAATGTATGGTTACATATTGAATAAGCCTGTTATCAGCAAAGTATTGTAGAGTCCCCATAAGGCACACGATACGATACGATACGATACGATACGATAGGATACGATACGAATACTGCAAACCAAACCCACTGCCGTTGAGTTGACTGCAGCTCACAGCTTGACCCTTTGTAGGGTTTTCAAGCCTGTCGGTCTTTACAAAGGAAGACAGCCTCATCTTTCCTGTGGAGTGCTGGAGGGTTTAAACTACTGTTTTAGCAGCCCACCGCCTAGCCCATAATGCTACCAGAGCTCCTAAGCCCTTCAGTTCCCCCGTAGGAGGAACATTTTAGGATAACCAGTCTATAAAGTACTGAAATTATTGGGCTCGATGTAGAAGTGACTAAGGAACGTGTGTGTGCACGCGGGGCTGGGGAGGGCGCTCAGTTTGGGTAAACAGGATGAGGGTTTAGCTATGCCAAAGGGGATGCCAAGCACAAAGTCAGGAAGTCTCTTTATAGACAAATTTGACTCAATCATAGGAATCCTGTGCTTACATTGTCAGGGTGTGGCTCTGACTAGCCCTGTCGTTCACTGAGCTTTTCTTAGTGTATTGTGTGGCCAGCACAGACTCCGACAACATACAGCACCCCCAAATCCACTGTATTTCCCTTTTCCCTCTTCCATTAATCTGCAGCCACTGAAATCAGGAGCCAAATGTTTGGTAAGTACCCATAGATTTC